CAAGGGCCTAGCGTGTGCAAAATAAAAAGAACAAGGGTCTAGCATGTGCAAAATTGCAAGAGCAAGGGCCTAGCATGTGCAAAATAAAAAGAACAAGGGCGTAGCGTGTGCAAAATAAAAAGAACAAGGGCATAGCGTGTGCAAAATAAAAAGAACAAGGGCCTAGCGTGTGCAAAATAAAAGGAACAAGGGCCTAGCGTGTGCAAAATTGCAAGAACAAAGGCCTAGCGTGTGCAAAATTGCAAGAACAAGGGCCTAGTGAGTGCAAAATAGCAAGAGCAAGGGCCTAGCGTGTGCAAAAAATCAAGAACAAGGGCCTAGCGTTCGCGAAATAGCAAGAACAAGGGCCTAGCGTGTGCAAAATAAAAAGAACAAGGGTCTAGCATGTGCAAAATTGCAAGAACAAGGGCCTAGCGTGTGCAAAATAAAAAGAACAAGGGCATAGCGTGTGCAAAATAGCAAGAACAAGGGCCTAGCGTGTGCAAAATAAAAAGGACAAGGGCCTAGCGTGTGCAAAATAGCAAGAACAAGGGCCTAGCGTGTGCAAAATTGCAAGAACAAGGGCCTAGCGTGTGCAAAATAAAAAGAACAAGGGCCTAGCGAGTGCAAAATAGCAAGAGCAAGGGCCTAGCGTGTGCAAAAAATCAAGAACAAGGGCCTAGCGTTCGCGAAATAGCAAGAACAAGGGCCTAACATGTGCAAAAAAAAAAGAACAAGGGTCTAGCATGTGCAAAATTGCAAGAACAAGGGCCTAGAGTGTGCAAAATAAAAAGAACAAGGGCATAGCGTGTGCAAAATAGCAAGAACAAGGGCCTAGCATGTGCAAAATACAAGAATAAGGGCCTAGCGTGTGCAAAATAAAAAGAACAAGGGCCTAGCGTGTGCAAAATTGCAAGAACAATGGCCTAGCGAGTGCAAAATAGCAAGACCAAGTGCATAGCGTATGCAAAAAATCAAGAACAAGGGCCTTGTGTTCGCGAAATAGCAAGAACAAGGGCCTAGCGTGTGCAAAATAAAAAGAACAAGGGTCTAGCATGTGCAAAATTGTAACAACAAGGGCAAAGCGTGTGCAAAATAAAAATAACACGGGCATAGCGTGTGCAAAATAAAAGGAACAAGTGCCTAGCGTGTGCAAAATTGCAAGAACAAGGGCCTAGCGTGTGCAAAATAAAAAGAACAAGGGCATAGCGTGTGCAAAATACAAGAACAAGGGCCTAGCATGTGCAAAATACAAGAACAAGGGCCTAGCGTGTGCAAAATATAAAGAACAAGGGCCTAGCGTGTGCATAATTGCAAGAACAAGGGCCTAGCGTGTGCAAAATTGCAAGAACAAGGGCCTAGCGAGTGCAAAATAGCTAGAGCAAGAGCCTAGCGTGTGCAAAAAATAAAAAACAAGGGCAGAGGGTTCGCGAAATAGCAAGAACAAGGGCCTAGCGTGTGCAAAATTAAAAGAACAAGGGCATAGCGTGTGCAAAATAGCAAGAACAAGGGCCTAGCATGTGCAAAATACAAGAACAAGGGCCTAGCGTGTGCAAAATAAAAAGAACAAGGGCCTAGCATGTGCAAAATTGCAAGAACAAGGGCCTAGCGTGTGCAAAATTGCAAGAACAAGGGCCTAGCGAGTGCAAAATAGCTAGAGCAAGGGCCTAGCGTGTGCAAAAAATCAAGAACAAGGGCATAGGGTTCGCGAAATAGCAAGAACAAGGGCCTAGCGTGTGCCAACTAAAAAGAACAAGGGCCTAGCGTTTGCAAAATTGCAAGAACAAGGGCCTAGCATGTGCAAAATTGCAAGAACAAGGGCTTAGCGAGTGCAAAATAGCAAGAGCAAGGGCCTAGCGTGTGCAAAAAATCAAGAACAAGGGCCTAGCATTCGCGAAATAGCAAAAACAAGGGCCTAGCGTGTGCAAAATAAAAAGAACAAGGGTCTAGCATGTGCAAAATTGCAAGAACAGGGGCCTAGCGTGTGCAAAATAAAAAGAACAAGGGCATAGCGTGTGCAAAATAGCAAGAACAGGGGCCTAGCGTGTGCAAAATATAAAGAACAAGGGACTAGCATGTGCAAAATAAAGAGAACAAGGGCCTAGCGTGTGCAAAATTGCAAGAACAAGGGCCTAGCGTGTGCAAAATAAAAAGAACAAACGCCTATCGTGTGCAAAATAAAAATATCAAAGGGCTAGCATGTGCAAAATTGCATGAACAAGGGCCTAGCATCTGCAAAATTGCAAGAACAAGGGCCTAGCGAGTGCAAATTAGCAAGAGCAAGGGCCTAGCGTGTGCAATAAATCAAGAACAAGGGCCTAGCGTTCGCGAAATAGCAAGAACAAGGGGCTAGCGTGTGCAAAATAAAAAGAACAAGGGTCTAGCATGTGCAAAATTGCAAGAACAAGGGCCTAGCGTGTTCAAAGTAAAAAGAACAAGGGCATAGCGTGTGCAAAATAGCAAGAAAAAGGGCCTAGCGTGTGCAAAATAAAAAGAACAAAGGTATAGCATGTGCGAAATTGCAAGAATAAGGGCCTAGCGTGTGCAAAATAAAAAGAACAAGGGCAAAGCGTGTGCTAAATTGCAAGAACAAGGGCCTAGCGTGTGCAAAATTGCAAGAACAAGGGCCTAGCGAGTGCAAAATAGCAAGAGCAAGGGCCTAGCGTGTGCAAAAAATCAAGAACAAGTGCCTAGCGTTCGCGAAATAGCAAGAACAAGGGCCTAACATGTGCAAAATAAAAAGAACAAGGGTCTAGCATGTGCAAAATAAAGAGAACAAGGGCCTAGCGTGTGCAAAATTGCAAGAACAAGGGCCTAGCGTGTGCAAAATAAAAAGAACAAACGCCTATCGTGTGCAAAATAAAAATATCAAAGGGCTAGCATGTGCAAAATTGCATGAACAAGGGCCTAGCATCTGCAAAATTGCAAGAACAAGGGCCTAGCGAGTGCAAATTAGCAAGAGCAAGGGCCTAGCGTGTGCAATAAATCAAGAACAAGGGCCTAGCGTTCGCGAAATAGCAAGAACAAGGGGCTAGCGTGTGCAAAATAAAAAGAACAAGGGTCTAGCATGTGCAAAATTGCAAGAACAAGGGCCTAGCGTGTTCAAAGTAAAAAGAACAAGGGCATAGCGTGTGCAAAATAGCAAGAAAAAGGGCCTAGCGTGTGCAAAATAAAAAGATCAAAGGTATAGCATGTGCGAAATTGCAAGAATAAGGGCCTAGCGTGTGCAAAATAAAAAGAACAAGGGCATAGCGTGTGCTAAATTGCAAGAACAAGGGCCTAGCGTGTGCAAAATTGCAAGAACAAGGGCCTAGCGAGTGCAAAATAGCAAGAGCAAGGGCCTAACGTGTGCAAAAAATCAAGAACAAGTGCCTAGCGTTCGCGAAATAGCAAGAACAAGGGCCTAACATGTGCAAAATAAAAAGAACAAGGGTCTAGCATGTGCAAAATTGCAAGAACAAGGGCCTAGAGTGTGCAAAATATAAGAACAAGGGCATAGCGTGTGCAAAATAGCAAGAACAAGGGCCTAGCATGTGCAAAATACAAGAACAAAGGCCTAGCGTGTGCAAAATAAAAAGAACAAGGGCCTAGCGTGTGCAAAATTGCAAGAACAAGGGCCTAGCGTGTGCAAAATTGCAAGAACAAGGGCCTAGCGAGTGCAAAATAGCAAGCCCAAGGGCCTAGCGTATGCAAAAAATCAAGAACAAGGGCCTTGTGTTCGCGAAATAGCAAGAACAAGGGCCTAGCGTGCGCAAAATAAAAAGAACAAGGGTCTAGCATGTGCAAAATTGCAAGAACAAGGGCATAGCGTGTGCAAAATAAAAATAACACGGGCATAGCGTGTGCAAAATAAAAAGAACAAGGGCCTAGCGTGTGCAAAATTGCAAGAACAAGGGCCTAGCATGTGCAAAATAAAAAGAACAAGGGCATAGCGTGTGCAAAATAGCAAGAACAAGGGCCTAGCATGTGCAAAATACAAGAACAAGGGCCTAGCATGTGCAAAATAAAAAGAACAAGGGCCTAGCGTGTGCAAAATTGCAAGAACAAGGGCCTAGCGTGTGCAAAATTGCAAGAACAAGGGCCTAGCGTGTGCAAAATAGCTAGAGCAAGGGCCTAGCGTGTGCAAAAAATCAAGAACAAGGGCATAGGGTTCGCGAAATAGCAAGAACAAGGGCCTAGCGTGTGCAAACTAAAAAGAACAAGGGCCTAGCGTTTGCAAAATTGCAAGAACAAGGGCCTAGCATGTGCAAAATTGCAAGAACAAGGGCTTAGCGAGTGCAAAATAGCAAGAGCAAGGGCCTAGCGTGTGCAAAAAATCAAGAACAAGGGCCTAGCATTCGCGAAATAGCAAAAACAAGGGCCTAGCGTGTGCAAAATAAAAAGAACAAGGGTCTAGCATGTGCAAAATTGCAAGAACAAGGGCCTAGCGTGTGCAAAATAAAAGAACAAGGGCATAGCATGTGCAAAATAGCAAGAACAGGGGCCTAGCGTGTGCAAAATATAAAGAACAAGGGACTAGCATGTGCAAAATAAAGAGAACAAGGGCCTAGCGTGTGCAAAATTGCAAGAACAAGGGCCTAGCGTGTGCAAAATAAAAAGAACAAATGCCTATCGTGTGCAAAATAAAAATATCAAAGGGCTAGCATGTGCAAAATTGCATGAACAAGGGCCTAGCATCTGCAAAATTGCAAGAACAAGGGCCTAGCGAGTGCAAATTAGCAAGAGCAAGTGCCTAGCGTGTGCAATAAATCAAGAACAAGGGCCTAGCGTTCGCGAAATAGCAAGAACAAGGGGCTAGCGTGTGCAAAATAAAAAGAACAAGGGTCTAGCATGTGCAAAATTGCAAGAACAAGGGCCTAGCGTGTTCAAAGTAAAAAGAACAAGGGCATAGCGTGTGCAAAATAGCAAGAACAAGGGCCTAGCGTGTGCAAAATAAAAAGAACAAAGGTATAGCATGTGCGAAATTGCAAGAATAAGGGCCTAGCGTGTGCAAAATAAAAAGAACAAGGGCATAGCGTGTGCTAAATTGCAAGAACAAGGGTCCATGTCCACGTCCACGTCCACGTCACGTCCACGTCCACGTCCATGTCCACGTCCACGTCCACGTCAACGTCCACGTCCACGTCCACTCCACGTCCACGTCCATGTCCACGTCCAAGTCCTCCACGTCCACGTCCTCGTCCACGTTCACGTCCATGTCCACCTCCAAGTTCTCCACGTCCACGTCCACGTCCACGTCCACGTCCTCCACGTGCACGTCCACGTCCACGTCCACGTCCATGTCCACGTCCACGTCCACGTCTACGTCTACGTCCACGTCCATGTCCACGTCCACGTCCACGTCCACGTCCATGTCCACGTCCATGTCCACGTCCACGTCCACGTCCACGTCCACGTCCACGTCCACGTCCACGTGCACGTCCACGTCCACGTCCACGTCCACGTCCACGTCCACGTCCACGTCCACTCCACGTCCACGTCCACGTCCACGTCCACGTCCACGTCCACGTCCACGTCCATGTCCACGTCCAGGTCCACGTTCACGTCCATGTCCACGTCCATGTTCTCCACGTCCACGTCCACGTCCACGTCCACGTCCACGTCCACGTCCACGTCCATGTCCATGTCCACGTCCATGTCCACGTCCATGTTCACGTCCACGTCTTGTTCACGTCCACGTCCATGTCCACGTCCACGTCCACGTCCACGTCCACGACCATGTCCACGTCCACGTCCATGTCCACGTCCACGTCCACGTCCACGTCCATGTCCAGGTCCATGTCCACGTCCACGTCTACGTCCACGTCCATGTCCAGGTCCACGTCCACGTCCACGTCCACGTCCATGTCCACGTCCACGTCCACGTCCATGTCCACGTCCAAGTCCTCCACGTCCACGTCCACGTCCACGTTCACGTCCATGTCCACGTCCAAGTTCTCGACGTCCACGTCCACGTCCTCCACGTCCACGTCCACGTCCACGTCCACGTCCACGTCCACTCCACGTCCACTCCACGTCAACGTCCACGTCCACGTCCACGTCCATGTCCACGTCCATGTCCACGTCCACGTCCACGTCCATGTCCACGTCCACGTCCACGTCCACCTCCATGTCCACGTCCACGTCCACGTCCACGTCCCCGTCCACGTCACGTCCACGTCCATGTCCATGTCCACGTCCACGTCCACGTCAACGTCCACGTCCACGTCCACTCCACGTCCACGTCCATGTCCACGTCCAAGTCCTCCACGTCCACGTCCACGTCCACGTTCACGTCCATGTCCACGTCCAAGTTCTCCACGTCCACGTCCACGTCCACGTCCACGTCCACGTCCTCCACGTCCACGTCCACGTCCATGTCCATGTCCACGTCCACGTCCACGTCAACGTCCACGTCCACGTCCACTCCACGTCCACGTCCATGTCCACGTCCAAGTCCTCCACGTCCACGTCCACGTCCACGTTCACGTCCATGTCCACGTCCAAGTTCTCCACGTCCACGTCCACGTCCACGTCCACGTCCACGTCCTCCACGTCCACGTCCACGTCCATGCCACGTCCACGTCCACGTCCTCCATGTCCACGTCCACGTCCACGTCCACGTCTACGTCCACGTCCATGTCCACGTCCACGTCCACGTCCACGTCCACGTCCATGTCCACGTCCACGTCCACGTCCACGTCCACGTCCATGTCCACGTCCACGTCCATGTCCACGTCCACGTCCACGTCTACGTCCATGTCCACGTCCATGTCCACGTCCACGTCTACGTATACGTCCACGTCCATGTCCACGTCCACGTCCACGTCCACGTCCATGTCCACGTCCATAACCACGTCCACGTCCACGTCCACGTCCACGTCCACGTCCACGTCCACGTCCACTCCACGTCCACCTCCACGTCCACGTCCACCTCCACGTCCACGTCCACGTCCACGTCCACGTCCACGTCCACGTCCACGTCCACGTCCACGTCCATGTCCACGTCCAGGTCCACGTTCACGTCCATGTCCACGTCCAAGTTCTCCACGTCCACGTCCACGTCCACGTCCACGTCCACGTCCATGTCCACGTCCACGTCCATGTCCACGTCCATGTTCACGTCCACGTCTTGTTCACGTCCATGTCCATGTCCACGTCCACGTCCACGTCCACGTCCACGTCCACGACCATGTCCACGTCCACGTCCATGTCCACGTCCACGTCCACGTCCACGTCCATGTCCATGTCCATGTCCACGTCCACGTCCACGTCCACGTCCACGTCCATGTCCACGTCCACGTCCACGTCCACGCCCACGTCCACGTCCATGTCCACGTCCACGTCCACGTCCATGTCCACGTCCAAGTCCTCCACGTCCACGTCCACGTCCACGTTCACGTCCATGTCCACGTCCAAGTTCTCCATGCCACGTCCACGTCCACGTCCACGTCCTCCACGTCCACGTCCACGTCCACGTCCACGTCCACGTCCACGTCCACGTCCACTCCACGTCCACTCCACGTCCACGTCCACGTCCACGTCCATGTCCACGTCCATGTCCACGTCCACGTCCACGTCCATGTCCACGTCCATGTCCACGTCCACGTCCACCTCCATGTCCACTTCCACGCCCACGTCCACGTCCATGTCCACGTCCACGTCCATGTCCACGTCCAAGTCCTCCACGTCCACGTCCACGTCCACGTTCACGTCCATGTCCACGTCCAAGTTCTCCACGTCCACGTCCACGTCCACGTCCACGTCCTCCACGTCCACGTCCACGTCCACGTCCACGTCCACGTCCACGTCCACGTCCACTCCATGTCCACTCCACGTCCACGTCCACGTCCACGTCCACGTCCATGTCCACGTCCATGTCCACGTCCACGTCCACTTCCATGTCCACGTCCATGTCCACGTCCATGTCCACGTCCACCTCCATGTCCACGTCCACGTCCACATCCACGTCCATGTCCACGTCCACGTCCACGTCCACGTCACGTCCACGTCCACGTCCATGTCCTTGTCCACGTCCACGTCAACGTCCACGTCCACGTCCAAGTCCTCCACGTCCACGTCCACGTCCACGTTCACGTCCAGGTCCACGTCCAAGTTCTCCACGTCCACGTCCACGTCCACGTCCACGTCCTCCACGTCCACGTCCACGTCCACGTCCATGTCCACGTCCACGTCCACGTCTACGTCTACGTCCACGTCCACGTCCACGTCCACGTCTACGTATACGTCCACGTCCATGTCCACGTCCACGTCCACGTCCACGTCCATGTCCACGTCCATAACCACGTCCACGTCCACGTCCACGTCCACGTCCACGTCCACGTCCACGTCCATGTCCACGTCCACGTCCACGTCCACGTCCACGTCCACTCCACGTCCACCTCCACGTCCACCTCCACGTCCACCTCCACGTCCACCTCCACGTCCACGTCCACGTCCACGTCCACGTCCAGGTCCACGTTCACGTCCATGTCCACGTCCAAGTTCTCCACGTCCACGTCCACGTCCACGTCCACGTCCACGTCCATGTCCACGTCCACGTCCACGTCCACGTCCATGTTCACGTCCACGTCTTGTTCACGTCCACGTCCATGTCCACGTCCACGTCCACGTCCACGTCCACGTCCACGACCATGTCCACGTCCACGTCCATGTCCACGTCCACGTCCACGTCCACGTCCATGTCCAGGTCCATGTCCACGTCCACGTCCACGTCCACGTCCGTGTCCACGTCCACGTCCATGTCCACGTCCACGTCCACGTCCACGTCCACGTCCATGTCCACGTCCACGTCCACGTCCACGTCCAAGTCCTCCACGTCCACGTCCACGTCCACGTTCACGTCCATGTCCACGTCCAAGTTCTCCACGTCCACGTCCATGTCCACGTCCACGTCCTCCACGTCCACGTCCACGTCCACGTCCACGTCCACGTCCTCCACGTCCACGTCCACGTCCACGTCCACGTCCACGTCCACGTCCATGTCCACGTCCACGTCCACTCCACGTCCACTCCACGTCCACGTCCACGTCCACGTCCACGTCCACGTCCATGACCACGTCCACGTCCACGTCCATGTCCACGTCCACCTCCTTGTCCACGTCCACGTCCACCTCCACGTCCACGTCCACGTCCACCTCCATGTCCTTGTCCACGTCCACGTCCATGTCCACGTCCACGTCCACGTCCACGTCACGTCCACGTCCACGTCCATGTCCACGTCCACGTCAACGTCCACGTCCACGTCCACGTCCATTCCACGTCCACGTCCATGTCCACGTCCAAGTCCTCCACGTCCACGTCCACGTCCACGTTCACGTCCATGTCCACGTCCAAGTTCTCCACGTCCACGTCCACGTCCACGTCCACGTCCACGTCCTCCACGTCCACGTCCACGTCCACGTCCACGTCCATGTCCACGTCCACGTCCACGTCTACGTCTACGTCCACGTCCATGTCCACGTCCACGTCTACGTCCACGTCCATGTCCACGTCCACGTCCACGTCCACGTCCACGTCCACGTCCATGTCCACGTCCACGTCCACGTCCACGTCCACGTCCACGTCCACGTCCACGTCCACGTCCACGTCCACGTCCACGTCCACGTCCACGTCCACTCCACGTCCACCTCCACGTCCACGTCCACCTCCACGTCCACGTCCACGTCCACGTCCACGTCCTCGTCCACGTCCACGTCCATGTCCACGTCCAGGTCCACGTTCACGTCCATGTCCACGTCCAAGTTCTCCACGTCCACGTCCACGTCCACGTCCACGTCCATGTCCACGTCCACGTCCATGTCCACGTCCATGTTCACGTCCACGTCTTGTTCACGTCCACGTCCATGTCCACGTCCACGTCCACGTCCACGTCCACGACCATGTCCACGTCCACGTCCATGTCCACGTCCACGTCCACGTCCATGTCCAGGTCCATGTCCACGTCCACGTCAACGTCCACGTCCACGTCCATGTCCACGTCCACGTCCACGTCCACGTCCACGTCCACGTCCACGTCCATGTCCACGTCCACGTCCACGTCCATGTCCACGTCCATGTCCTCCATGTCCACGTCCACGTCCACGTTCACGTCCATGTCCACGTCCAAGTTCTCCACGTCCACGTCCACGTCCACGTCCACGTCCTCCACGTCCACGTCCACGTCCACGTCCACGTCCACGTCCACGTCCACGTCCACGTCCACTCCACGTCCACTCCACGTCCACGTCCACGTCCACGTCCATGTGCACGTCCATGTCCACGTCCACGTCCACGTCCACGTCCACGTCCATGTCCACGTCCACGTCCACGTCCACCTCCATGTCCACGTCCACGTCCACGTCCACGTCCACGTCCACGTCCACGTCACGTCCACGTCCACGTCCATGTCCACGTCCACGTCCACGTCAACGTGCACGTCCACGACCACGTCCACTCCACGTCCACGTCCATGTCCACGTACAAGTCCTCCACGTCCACGTCCACGTCCACGTTCACGTCCATGTCCACGTCCAAGTTCTCCACGTCCACGTCCACGTCCACGTCCACGTCCACTCCACGTCCACCTCCACGTCCACGTCCACCTCCACGTCCACGTCCACGTCCACGTCCATGTCCACGTCCAGGTCCACGTTCACGTCCATGTCCACGTCCAAGTTCTCCACGTCCACGTCCACGTCCACATCCACGTCCACGTCCATTCATGTCCACGTCCACGTCCATGTCCACGTCCATGTTCACGTCCACGTCTTGTTCACGTCCACGTCCATGTCCACGTCCACGTCCACGTCCACGTCCACGACCATGTCCACGTCCACGTCCATGTCCACGTCCACGTCCACGTCCACGTCCATGTCCAGGTCCACGTCCATGTCCACGTCCACGTCCACGTCCATGTCCATGTCCATGTCCACGTCCATGTCCACGTCCACGTCCACGTCCATGTCCACGTCCACGTCCACGTCCACGTCCACGACCATGTCCACGTCCACGTCCATGTCCACGTCCACGTCCACGTCCACGTCCATGTCCAGGTCCACGTCCATGTCCACGTCCACGTCCACGTCCATGTCCATGTCCACGTCCACGTCCATGTCCACGTCCACGTCCACGTCCACGTCGACGTCCTCCACGTCCACGTCCACGTCCACGTCCACGTCCACGTCCACGTCCACGTCCACGTCCACGTCCATGTCCACTCCACGTCCACTCCACGTCCACGTCCACGTCCACGTCCATGTCCACGTCCATGTCCACGTCCACGTCCACGTCCACGTCCATGTCCACGTCCACGTCCACGTCCACCTCCATGTCCACGTCCACGTCCACGTCCATGTCCACGTCCACGTCCACGTCCACGTCCACGTCACGTCCACGTCCACGTCCAGGTCCACGTCCACGTCCACGTCAACGTCCACGTCCACGTCCACGTCCACTCCACGTCCACGTCCATGTCCACGTCCAAGTCCTCCACGTCCACGTCCACGTTCACGTCCATGTCCAAGTCCAAGTTCTCCACGTCCACGTCCACGTCCACGTCCACGTCCACGTCCACGTCCTCCACGTCCACGTCCACGTCCACGTCCATGTCCACGTCCACGTCTACGTCCACGTCCACGTCCACGTCCACGTCCACGTCCACGTCCATGTCCACGTCCACGTCCACGTCCACTCCACGTCCACGTCCACGTCCACGTCCACTCCACGTCCACGTCCACGTCCAGGTCCACCTCCACGTCCACGTCCACGTCCACGTCCACGTCCACGTCCACGTCCATGTCCACGTCCAGGTCCACGTTCACGTCCATGTCCACGTCCAAGTTCTCCACGTCCACGTCCACGTCCACGTCCACGTCCATGTCCACGTCCACGTCCATGTCCACGTCCATGTTCACGTCCACGTCTTGTTCACGTCCACGTCCATGTCCACGTCCACGTCCACGTCCACGTCCACGACCATGTCCACGTCCACGTCCATGTCCACGTCCACGTCCACGTCCACGTCCATGTCCAGGTCCATGTCCACGTCCACGTCCACGTCCACGTCCACGTCCACGTCCACGTCCACGTCCATGTCCACGTCCACGTCCACGTCCATGTCCACGTCCAAGTCCTCCACGTCCATATCCACGTCCACGTTCACGTCCATGTCCACGTCCAAGTTCTCCACGTCCACGTCCACGTCCACGTCCACGTCCACGTCCACGTCCACTCCACGTCCACTCCACGTCCACGTCCACGTCCACGTCCACGTCCACGTCCACGTCCATGTCCACGTCCACGTCCATGTCCACGTCCATGTCCACGTCCACGTCCACGTCCACCTCCATGTCCACGTCCACGTCCACGTCCACGTCCACGTCCACGTCCACGTCCACGTCACGTCCACGTCTACGTCCACGTCACGTCCACGTCCACGTCCATGTCCACGTCCACGTCCACGTCAACGTCCACGTCCACGTCCACGTCCACTCCACGTCCACGTCCATGTCCACGTCCAAGTCCTCCACGTCCACGACCACGTCCACGTTCACGTCCATGTCCACGTCCAAGTTCTCCACGTCCACGTCCACGTCCTCGTCCACGTCCACGTCCACGTCCTCCACGTCCACGTCCACGTCCACGTCCACGTCCACGTCCATGTCCACGTCCACGTCCACGTCTATGTCTACGTCCACGTCCATGTCCACGTCCACGTCCACGTCCACGTCCACGTCCACGTCCACGTCCATGTCCACGTCCACGTCCACGTCCACGTCCACGTCCACTCCACGTCCACCTCCACGTCCACGTCCACCTCCACGTCCACGTCCACGTCCACGTCCACGTCCATGTCCACGTCCAGGTCCACGTTCACGTCCATGTCCACGTCCAAGTTCTCCACGTCCACGTCCACGTCCACGTCCACGTCCACGTCCAAGTCCTCCACGTCCACGTCCTCCACGTCCACGCCCACGTCCACGTCCGCGTCCACGTCCACGTCCATGTCCACGTCCACGACCATGTCTACGTCCATGTCCACGTCCACGTCCACGTCCGCGTCCACGACCACGTCCACGTCCACGTCCACGTCCGCGTCCACGTCGACGTCCACGTCTACGTCCATGTCCACGTTCATGTGCGCGTCTAGTTACCTTTCAAACCCTTACGTTCACTAGATGAATTTATTTCCTACCTTCTATTTGAGTGAGACCACTAGATTCCGTGTACTATGCGAGATCTGAGCGCTTCCGTTCTCCCTGGCATTTGCACTCTAAGTTCCCATACTGACCGACCTGGCCAATGCACCATTTTCCATATACATATGCATTAGATTCCTTTCGAACCTTATTAGCTCACTAGATTTATATATTTCCCACCTTCTGATCGAGTGAGACCACTAGATTCCCTCTTCTTTTTGAGAAATGAGCGTATCCGTTCTCCTTGGCCCTAGTTGCACTATATGTGCGAAATGCCGGCCAGACTGGCCGATGCACAATTTTCTCTACACATGTGCGTTAGTTACCTTTCAAACCCTTACGTTCACTAGATGAATATATTTCCTACTTTCTATTTGAGTGAGACCACTTGATTCCGTGTACTATGCGAGATCTGAGCGCTTCCGTTCTCCCAGGCATTTGCATTTTAAGTTCCGATACTGACCGACCTGGCCAATGCACCACACCCTATACATGTGTGTTGAATACATTTCAAACCTTTTTAGCTGACTAGATTTATATATTTCCCACCTTCTGATCGAGTGAGACCGTTAGATTCCCTCTACTTTTTGAGAAACGAGCGTTTCCGTTCTACCTGGCCCAACCTGCACTATGAGTGCGAAATGCCGGCCAGACTGGCCGATGCACCATTTTCTCTACACATGTGCATTAGTTACCTTTCAACCCTTACGTTCACTAGATGATTATATTTCCTACCTTATATTTGAGTGAGACCACTAGATTCCGTGTATTATGCGAGATCTGAGCGGTTCTGTTCTCCCAGGCATTTGCACTCTAAGTTCCCATACTGACCGACCTGGCCAATGCACCATTTTCCATATACATATGCATTAGATTCCTTTCAAACCTTATAAACTCACTAGATTTATATATTTCCCACCTTCTAATCGAGTGAGACCGCTAGATTCCCTTTACTTGTTGAGAAATTAGCGTTTCCGTTCTCCTTGGCCCTACTTGCACTATAAGTGCGAAATGCCGGCCAGACTGGCTGATGCACCATTTTCTCTACACATGTGCGTTAGTTACCTTTCGAACCCTTACGTTCACTAGATGAATTTATTTCTTACCTTCTATTTGAGTGAGACCACTAGATTCCGTGTACTATGCGAGATCTGAGCGCTTCCGTTCTCCCTGGCATTTGCATTTTAAGTTCCGATACTGACCGACCTGGCCAATGCACCATTTTTTCTATACATGTGCGTTGAATACATTTCAAACCTTTTTAGCTGACTAGATTTATATATTTCCCACCTTCTGATCGAGTGAGACCGTTAGATTCCTTCTACTTTTTGAGAAACGAGCGTTTCCGTTCTACCTGGCCCCACCTGCACTATGAGTGCGAAATGCCGGCCAGACTGGCCGATGCACCATTTTCTCTACACATGTGCATTAGTTACCTTTCAAACCCTTACGTTCACTAGATGTATATATTTCCTACCTTATATTTGAGTGAGACCACTAGATTCCGTGTATTATGCGAGATCTGAGCGGTTCCATTCTCCCAGGCATTTGCACTCTAAGTTCCCATACTGACCGACCTGGCCAATGCACCACTTTCCATATACATATGCATTAGATTCCTTTTGAACCTTATAAGCTCACTAGATTTATATATTTCCCACCTTGTGATCGAGTGAGACTGCTAGATTCCCTTTACTTTTTGAGAAATGAGCGTTTCCGTTCTCCTTGGCCCTACTTGCACTATAAGTGCGAAATGCCGGCCAGACTGGCCGATGCACCATTTTCTCTACACATGTGCGTTAGTTACCTTTCAAACCCTTACGTTCACTAGATGAATTTATTTCCTACCTTATATTTGAGTGAGACCACTAGATTCCGTGTATTATGCGAGATCTGAGCGGTTCTGTCTCCCAAGCATTTGCACTCTAAGTTCCCATACTGACCGACCTGGCCAATGCACCACTTTCCATATACATATGCATTAGATTCCTTTCGAACCTTATTAGCTCACTAGATTTATATATTTCCCACCTTCTGATCGAGTGAGACCGCTAGATTCCCTTTACTTTTTGAGAAATGAGCGTTTCCGTTCTCCTTGGCCCTACTTGCACTATAAGTGCGAAATGCCGGCCAGACTGGCCGATGCACCATTTTCTCCACACATGTGCGTTAGTTACCTTTCAATCCCTTACGTTCACTAGATGAAATTATTTCCTACCTTCTATTTGAGTGAGACCACTAGATTCCGTGTACTATGCGAGATCTGAGCGGTTCCGTTCTCCCAGGCATTTGCACTCTAAGTTGCCATACTGACCGACCTGGCCAATGCACCAGTTTCCATATACATATGCATTAGATTCCTTGTGAACCTTATAAGCTGACTAGATTTATATATTTCCCACCTTCTGATCGAGTGAGACCGCTAGATTCCCTTTACTTTTTGAGAAATGAGCGTTTCCGTTCTCCTTGGCCCTACTTGCACTATAAGTGCGAAATGCCGGCTAGACTGGCCGACGCACCACTTTCTCTACACATGTGCGTTAGTTACCTTTTAAAACCTTACGTTCACTAGATGAATTTATTTCCTACCTTCTATTTGAGTGAGACCACTAGATTCCGTGTACTATGCGAGATCTGAGCGCTTCCGTTCTCCCTGGCATTTGCACTCTAAGTTCCCATAATGACCGACCTGGCCAATGCACCATTTTCCATATACATACGCATTAGATTCCTTTCAAACCTTATTAGCTCACTAGATTTATATATTTCCCACCTTCTGATCGAGTGAGACCGCTAGATTCCCTTTACTTTTTGAGAAATGAGTGTTTCCGTTCTCCTTGGCCCTACTTGCACTATAAGTGCGAAATGCCGGCCAGACTGGCCGATGCACCATTTTCTCTACACATGTGCGTTAGTTACCTTTCAAACCCTTACGTTCACTAGATGAATTTATTTCCTACCTTCTATTTGAGTGAGACCACTAGATTCCGTGTACTATGCGAGATCTGAGCACTTCCGTTCTCCTTGGCATTTGCACTCTAAGTTCCTTTACTGACCGACCTGGCCAATGCACCATTTTCCATATACATATGTATTAGATTCCTTTCGAACCTTATTAGCTCACTAGATTTATATATTTCCCACCTTATGATCGAGTGAGACCGCTAGATTCCCTTTACTTTTTGAGAAATTAGTGTTTCCGTTCTCCTTCGCCCTACTTGCACTATAAGTGCGAAATGCCGGCCAGACTGGCCGATGCACCATTTTCTCTACACATGTGCGTTAGTTACCTTTCAAACCCTTACGTTCACTAGATGAATTTATTTCCTACCTTCTATTTGAGTGAGACCACTAGATTTCGTGTACTATGCGAGATCTGAGCACTTCCGTTCTCCCTGGCATTTGCACTCTAAGTTCCCATACTGACCGACCTGGCCAATGCACCATTTTCCATATACATATGCATTAGATTCCTTTCGAACCTTATTAGCTCACTAGATTTATATATTTCCCACCTTCTGATCGAGTGAGACCGCTAGATTCCCTTTACTTTTTGAGAAATGAGCGTTTCCGTTCTCCTTGGCCCTACTTGCACTATAAGTGCGAAATGCCGGCCAGACTGGCCGATGCACCATTTTCTCTACACATGTGCGTTAGTTACCTTTCAAACCCTTACGTTCACTAGATGAATTTATTTCCTACCTTCTATTTGAGTGAGACCACTAGATTCCGTGTACTATGTGAAATAAATGACCAGGAATGAAATGACTAAGTCAGAGTTGGGTACAAATACAACCCTAGAAAGCTGTACCCTATATGTGCTACCCCACTATAGCCTACAAACATGCATCAGCAATAATACTCTGACACACCCCCATAGGCAAAGTGGGGGAGAACAAGGGGTCACAAGACCAGTCAACCAAAGCAAAGCAAAGCAAGCTCAGGGTGGATCACAAAGTCACCACACAGTCTGAGCACAAGAGCAGGGCCAGAGGCCTGTTCACATGCAGGAGTACAGACATATATATAAAACTAGACAAGCAGGAGCAGGTATATATATGTCACAGAACAAGTAAAGTCAAGAAGAGAGCAAGTGAGGCAAGACAGGCACAAGACCGAGCTGGTTGCAGAAGCGCTGATGGTCACAAGGCGCGAGTGCCTTGGTGAACACATCAGCAGTGTTGGCCTCAGAGGCCACGTACGCAAGTCGCAACTGACCACGCTGCTGCAGCTCACAAGCAAGGAAGTAGCGGAGAGCAATGTGCTTCGTTCTGTGCTCCAAGCGCTGCTCTCGACATAAGGCCAGCATGGCCTTGTTGTCTACGTACAGCACTGGAGGAGAACGAGGCGGCTCTCCAAGGTCAGTCAGCAGGTAGGTGAGCCAGCGAAGCTCTTGTGCAGCCATGGCCCGAGCGTAGATCTCAGCCTCACAACTGGAGCTGAGAACCGAAGACGAGCGAGTAGACCGCCACGAGACAGAGCCGGAACCAAGACTGAAGGTGTAACCCTGTGACGACCGCTGCGTAGCCTGGTCGTCAGCCCAAGAAGCGTCCGCGTGGCCTGTAAGGACCACTGGACTCAGCCCTCCAAGCACTAGCCCCATGCCTGACGTACTGCACAGGTAGCGCAACACCCTCTTCGCTGCAGCCATGTGCTCTGGTCGGTTTCTCCCAGGAGCAACATAGCGTGCAAGAATGCTCAGAGGGTATGCAAGGTCAGGTCGTGTGCAGGTCATCAGGTACATGAGGCAGCCAACAAGCTCTGGGTACGGGCCACTCGACTCCACGGACTCATCCGAAGGCAGAGCTGAGAGCGAGTGACGAGTAGACAGAGGAGTGGCCTGAGGCGAGGAGTACGTGAAGCCGAAGCGCTGAAGGACCTGCTGCACCATGTGTGACTGAGTCAAGGTAATGGTGCGGCGTGCTCTGTTCCGAGTGATCTGCAAGCCAAGGTAGCTGCGCAGTTCACCCAGGTCTGTGCACGTGTGTCTCTTCAGCAGCTCGGACTTCACGTAGGTGAGTCCAGCAGTGTCCGCTGTGGCAAAGACCAAGTCGTCGACGTACACGAGGATGTAGAACGGCGGCAGAGAAGTGTCGGTGCGCAGAAACAGCGACGGGTCAGCAGTAGAAGGAGCAAACCCAAGAGCCGCAAGCGTAGTCCTCAGTGTGTCGTGCCACTCACGCGGTGCCTGGCGGAGACCGTAGACTGGCCGTCGAAGGCTCCACTGGGTGCCAGGAGGGAAAGTCCCAGTGAAGCCAGGTGGACGGCGCAGCCAGATCTCCTCGTGCAGGCTACCCTGCAGGAACGCAGTGCTGAAGTCGAGAGAGTGAAGCTCGTAGTCGCGCTGAGCGGCTATGTGCAGCAGCACCCGAAGAGTGGTCATCTTCGGGGTGGGAGAGAAGGTCTGAAAGTAGTCAACTCCCTGCCGCTGGCTGAAGCCACGAGCAACGTACCGCACCTTGAAGACAGGTGGAGAGCCCGGCGGCCGCTTCACCCGGAAGATCCACATGCCACTGACGATGTTCGCCCCAGGAGGGGGAACTGCGTCAACGTAGGTGCTTGTGGACTTCCAGGAAGCCATCTCTGCATCCATAGCTGCCTGCCACTGAGAGGAGTAGGGACCCTCTACGGCCTCCGCGTAAGAGCGCGGAGTCGGGATGTCTAGTGCATCCGGGTCTCCCTCAGGAGCAAGCAGTACAGACGCGAGATGAGGTGAAGCAGCAGCCAGACACTGTAACTCCTCCTGCCTGTCCTCTAGAACGTCCGTGCCAAGAGCACACTCACCCCCGACGGACGGAGGACAGACAGACGCAGACTCAGCAACAAGACTAGCAGCGCAGTCTAGACGACAGCGAGCAGCAAAGTCGACGAGCTCAGCGACTAGAGCAGACGCAGCAGTGGACTCAAAAGAGGGGTCAGTGACGACAGTAGCAAGCAGACGCGTGACAGTAGGACTGGCAGCACGAAGAGAGTCCGACTCAGGGTCGGCAAGCGCAGGAAGAGAGGACTCAGGAGGAGAAGGCAAAGGGGCACGCAGAGGAGCAGTGGACGGACGCAGAGACATCCGGTGCGTGCCAGGGACAGGAGGAGGACGCTGACGCGAACCGCGACCACTAGCGCGAGCAGCACGAACAGGCGACGCGGGACGAGACGCAGGCTCACGACGCTCAGCAAGACCTCCAGTAGGACCAGTGTAAGGAGAGGGAGCAGGCAGAGGAGAGGAAGGCTCCAACAGTGACTGCGACTGGACAGGCTGTGGACACTCTACCGAAGGAGAAAGACCAAGAACCTGCTGTAGGAGCGGAACGAAGTACGGTCGAGGCCGCGCGGCAGCTCCAGACTCAGCAGGGACAGCACCAGCACCCTCAGCGACAGTACCAGCGCCACCAACACCTCCAGCGGCAGGACCTCCAGCAGTACCAGCAGCAGAACCACCGAGAGGACAGACAGCAGTGGTCTCTGCACCAACACCCTCAGCAGCTCCAGCTCCAGGAGGACCCGCAGGCCCAGCAGCTCCGAGACCGGCAGCACCAGCACCCTCGACGGTCGAAGAAGCTCCAGCTCCAGCAGCACGCCTCCAGCGGCGAGCAAACCACTCGCGCAGCTCCTGGGGAGAGAGGGGCTCCCGTCGAGACGCAGCAGCAGGAGAAACCCCAGGCTCAGCACCCCCAGGCTCAGCAGCTCCAGACTCAGCACCCCTAGGCTCAGCAGCTCCAGGCACAGCACCCCCCGACGCAGCACCCTCCGCAGTAGTATCCCCAGGCCCAGCACCCCCAGGCTCAGCACCCCCAGTAGCAGCACCTCCAGGCCCGGCACCCCCGCGCACAGCACCCCCAGAGTCAGCACCCACAGGCTCAGCACCCGCAGCAGCACCAGAGTCACCAGTAACCTCGACCGGGTCAACTGCGTCTACCTGGGACACACCTGAGGGGGCAGGAACCTGAGGGGGGAGTGGGTCTACCGGGGGGGGAACCGGCACAAGGAAGTCCGGCGGAGGGGGAAAGGAAGGAGTGCGGTAGGGGAAGAGGCGGTAGAAGGGGACTGACTCGTCGAACGTGACGTCCTGGGAGGACAGAACACGACGAGAGGAGGGGTGGTAAAACTGCCACCCTGGAGCGTCAGTGGGGAAGCCAAGGAAGACACAGGGAGCAGCACGAGGGGACAGCTTGTCCGCAGACAAGTCGCGGACAAACGCCCGAGATCCCCAGACACGGAACGTCGACGCATCGCCAACCTTCCCCGTCCACAGCAAGACTGGGGACATCGCGGGCCGAGAGACCCTGGAGTGAAGGTTGAGCTGATGCGCCGCGTACCTCACCGCAAACGGCCACAGAAAATGGGGGGCAGCCGCATGCATCATGGACGTACGAGCGACATCCATGACCATGCCAATGCGGCGCTCAGCAATCCCATTTTGCTGTGGAGAGTCCGGAAGCGTAAAGGTCTGGCGGATCCCCCGTGCACGACAGTAGTCTCGCAGAAGGCGCGAGGAGAACTCTCCGCCTCTGTCCGAGTGCAGACGCAGAACAAGAAAGTCCGAGCTGAAGCTCTTCCTGAGCTGGAGACGAGCCTCGCGGATCCAGTCGATCAGCACCTCAGTGACAGCACCCTTGCTGCGCAAGGGGAGGACTGTGGTGTAACGCGAGTAGTCGTCAACCACCAACAGAAAGTAGCGCTCGTGACCCTGCCCACGGACGGGGGCTGGGCCCCACACGTCCATGTGAAGCGTCTGCAGAGGAGCCTCGGTCGGGGGGAACTGGGAGGAGTGAGGAGCAGCCCGGAGGCGACCCTCGACACAGGGGACACAGGAAGGTCCTGGCCCGGAGGGAAGGGGAGGGAGAGACTGGGGAAGACCAGAGACAAGGACACGGGAAGCCATGCTCCGAAGACGGGGCAAGGAGGGGTGGCAAAGACGGTGGTGCCACAGGAGAGTCTCGTGAGACAGGAGGCGACAAGAACAGGGGGGCAGACTCAGGACCTGACCGGGACGCAGCAGCAAGCACCTGACCTGACGCAGCCACCTGACCAGACGCAGGGACAGGAGGAGACTCAACGGTCAGGGTGTAGAGACTCGACCCCGGCCGACGCGAGAACGTGGCCAGGTGTCGGCCTGTGCGTGCCTCCGTGCAGTGGGTCACCCGCTGACTCGCAGGAGTGAACTGGTGAACCCCCACATCCTGCAGGTCCGCGCCACTCACCAAGTTCGTAGAGAACGAGGGAAGGTACAGACCAGACAGGGTGCCCGAAGGGGCAGCCGGACACGGGAGGACAGTGGAGAAGTGAGAGAGGACAGGACCCCCAGAGGGGTCAGCCAGGGAGACGGCAACCGGCCGGCCAAGCGGCGTAAGGGTGGTGCGGTCTCGAAAGAAGGAGCGAGAAGCCCCAGAGTCAAGTGTGAAAGTGAGGGAGGACGAGGGCGACGCAGTACCTGAGGGCGCAGTCTCACCAGTACCTGAGAGCGCAGACGCACTGGCACCTAGAGCAGCAGCCTCACAAGCACCTAGCGCAGCAGTACCAATGCCCGGGTCGGGCTGGAAACACCGGTAACCCTCAGTCTCCTCACTAATAGTCACAGCATACATAGCAGCAAGGATAGCATCAAAATCAAGATCAAAGATCGCTACACCAGCCTTAAGAAGCTCATCCCAGCGAGGGATCTCAGTAGCCCCGGGGAACTGCTGACGCCAAGCGTCCGTCAGGCGGCCAAAGCAGCGCTGGGTGGGGTGGGCACCCCCACACTACTCACCCGCGCGGTCGCCGGAACGAAGGACGTAGGTGCAAGGACCAGTACCCCCACCCCTCTGACGCTGAGTGTACCACTCACGAAGCTGCTGAGGCGGAGGGATGTCCCGCGAACGCTGTTGCTGCTGCTGCTGCTGCGAGCGCTGGCCACCACCACCGCCGCTCCGCTGCTGGGTACCACCCCGACCAGCTCCACCTCCTCCACCACCACCGCCTCCTCTGCTGCCTCCTCCGCCGCCTCCACCTCCGCCGCTGCCACCACCAACACCGCTGCCACCACCACCGCCGCCTCCGCCGCTGCTGCCACCGCCACCACCACCCCCGCCACTACTCCCGCCGCCACCCCCACTCCCTCCGCCGCCTCCGCCGCCACCGCCACCGCCCCCTCCAGCTCCACCCGCGCCCTTGCCCCCCTTGCCCTTGCCAGAGCGACGTCTCCCACTAGGGGCAGACGCCGCGCCGACCGACTCAAGACCAAGCAGGTCGGCAGCAGCAGCAGAGGCAACAGAGGGCAACAAGGGGGAAGGAGAGCACCCCTCAAAGATGGGGGTGCGAGGGTCTCCACGAGAAGCTCCTACAGCGACTATGCTCTTCTCCGCTGCGAGGAGGGCCTTCTCGAGGACGTCGACGGTGAGGGTGGTGGGAGAGACTGCGAGAAAGTGGTCCCTGACTACGCGAAGGGAGTCAGGGAGGCGTGCGACTACGTAGTAGAGAGTGATGTACATGGGGGGGGGGGGTTCTTAGCGCAGAACTCAGCAGGAAGGGCGGCGCGGTAGCGAGTGTCACTAGTGCGGAGGTGCGTAATGAGGTCAGCGACAGTGGGAAAGGCAGAGAGGTCAGGAAAGAGGTAGGGAAGCATGAGACGGCTCAGTGCAGCAGTGGAAGGGGAGGAGTAGCGCGCAACTACAGCGTCGTACAAGGTCTGAGCACTCTTGTACTGACTAAAGTGCGCGCGCTCAGAGGTAGGGAGGTGGCGACGCACAGCAAGACGTGCAGCAGCATCGCGGGTGGCCCACTGAGAGCGCACAGTGGGATCAGCATCAGCAGCAGGAGCAGGAGAGGCGCCAGAGGTAAGGTCAAAGAGAGAGAGGCCGTCTGCCCTATCGCACTGTAAAAACAACTGCAGGTCGTCTACCCAGACCTCAAAGTCAATGGCGCGACCCTCAGCGTCAAAAGCCAGGACACTAGGGGTAGCCATGACGACGACAGCGAAGCAGTGCAAGCAGTAGGGGAAGAGCACGCAGTGACAGTGGGACTGTGCTCACCAGGCAGGGCAGGCCGGGCAACTCTGCAGAAGGGCGGCTCGGCTGCTGGGCGGCTCGGCTCCCGGGCGGCTCGGCGGCAGGGCAGCTCTGGTGCAGGGCGGCTCGGCTCCCGGGCGGCTCGGCGGCAGGGCGGCTCGGGTGCAGGGCGGCTCGGCTCCCGGGCGGCTCGGCGGCAGGGCGGCTCGGCTGCACTGCTGCTCAGCTGCTGCAGGTGGGCGGCTCGGCTGCTGCAGGTAGGGTGGCGGGGCCGCGAGATCAGGGGCAGCGGGGCCGAAGTAGCAGGGCCGGCAGGTGCAGCGGCGGGGACGGCGGGGCCGCGGCTGGTGGAGCGGCGGGGCCAGCAGAGAGGGCGGCGGAGCCGCGGCTGAGCAGGCGGCGGGGCCGACGGCGTAGCGGGCGGCGGGGCCGGCGGCGTAGCGGGCGGCGGGGCCGTGTCGTAGTCGGCGGCTGGGCCGCGTCGTAGCGGGCGGCGAGGCCACGTCAGAGCAGGTGGCGGGGCCGCGTCAGAGGTGGCGGCGGGGCCGCGTCAGATCAGGCAGCGGGGCCGCGTAAGAGGTGGCGGCGGGGCCGCGTCAGAGAAGGCGGTGGGGCCGCGTCGTAGCGGGCGGCGGGGCCGCGTAAGAGTAGGCGGCAGGGCCGCGTCAGAGCAGGCGGCAGGGCTGCGTCGAGCAGGTGGCGGGGCCGCTGCGTAGCTGGCGGCGGGGCCGCGATCGGGCGGCAGGGCCGCGACGTGGTGGCGGGGCCGCGATCGGGTGGCGGGGCCGCGATCAGAAGGGGTGGCGGGGCCGCGTCTGAGGGACGGCGGGGCCACGAGGGAAAGGGCGACTCGAGGGGTCGCTAAAAAAAAAAAGGTGCGCGCCTCGGGGCGAGCTTCGGTGGGCCCTAGGCAATGTTCCCACAGGGAACTCGCTCTATACCATGTGAAATAAATGACCAGGAATGAAATGACTAAGTCAGAGTTGGGTACAAATACAACCCTAGAAAGCTGTACCCCATATGTGCTACCCCACTATAGCCTACAAACATGCATCAGCAATAATACTCTGACATACTATGCGAGATCTGAGCGCTTCCTTTCTCCCTGGCATTTGTACTCTAAGTTCCCATACTGACCGACCTGGCCAATGCACCATTTTCCATATACATATGCATTAGATTCCTTTCGAACCTTATTAGCTCACTAGATTTATATATTTCCCACCTTCTGATCGAGTGAGACCGCTAGATTCCCTTTACTTTTTGAGAAATGAGCGTTTCCGTTCTCCTTGGCCCTACTTGCACTATAAGTGCGAAATGCCGGCCAGACTGGCCGATGCAACATTTTCTCCACACATGTGCATTAGTTACCTTTCAAACCCTTACGTTCACTAGATGAATTTATTTCCTTCCTTCTATTTGAGTGAGACCACTAGATTCCGTGTACTATGCGAGATCTGTGCGCTTCCTTTCTCCCTGGCATTTGCACTCTAAGTTCCCATACTGACCGACCTGGCCAATGCACCATTTTCCATATACATATGCATTAGATTCCTTTCGAACCTTATTAGCTCACTAGATTTATATATTTCCCACCTTCTGATCGAGTGAGACCGCTAGATTCCCTTTACTTTTTGAGAAATGAGCGTTTCCGTTCTCCTTGGCCCTACTTGCACTATAAGTGCGAAATGCCGGCCAGACTGGCCGATGCACCATTTTCTCTACACATGTGCGTTAGTTACCATTCAAACCCTTACGTTCACTAGATGAATTTATTTCCTACCTTCCATTTGGGTGAGACCACTAGATTCCGTGTACTATGCGAGATCTAAGCGCTTCCGTTCTCCCAGGCATTTGCACTCTAAGTTCCCATACTGACCGACCTGGCCAATGCACCATTTTCCATATACATATGCATTAGATTCCTTTCAAACCTTATTAACTCACTAGATTTATATATTTCCCACCTTCTGATCGAGTGAGACCGCTAGATTCCCTCTACTTTTTGAGAAATGAGCGTTTCCGTTCTCCTTGGCCCTAGTTGCACTATAAGTGCGAAATGCCGGCCAGACTGGCCGATGCACAATTTTCTCTACACATGTGCGTTAGTTCCCTTTCAAACCCTTACGTTCACTAGATGAATATAATTCCTACTTTCTATTTGAGTGAGACCACTTGATTCCGTGTACTATGCGAGATCTGAGCGCTTCCATTCTCCCTGGCATTTGCATCTTAAGTTCCGATACTGACCGACCTGGCCAATGCACCATTTTTTCTATACATGTGCGTTGAATACATTTCAAACCTTTTTAGCTGACCTGATTTATATGTTTCCCACCTTCTGATTGAGTCAGACTGTTAGATTCCCTCTACTTTTTGAGAAACGAGCGTTTCCGTTCTCTCTGGCCCCACCTGCACTATGAGTGACCGATGCACCATTTTCTCTACACATGTGCGTTAGTTACCTTTCAAACCATTACGTTCACTATATGAATATATTTCCTACCTTATATTTGAGTGAGACCACTAGATTCCGTGTATTATGCGAGATCTGAGCAGTTCCGTTCTCCCAGGCATTTGCACTCTAAGTTCCCATACTGACCGACCTGGCCAATGCACCACTTTCTATATACATATGCATTAGATTTCTTCTGAACCTTATAAGCTCACTAGATTTATATATTTCCCACCTTTTGATCGAGTGAGACTGCTAGATTCCCTTTACTTTTTGAGAAATGAGCGTTTCCGTTCTCCTTGGCCCTACTTGCACTATAAGTGCGAAATGCCGGCCAGACTGGCAGATGCACCATATTCTCTACACATGTGCGTTAGATACCTTTCAAACCCTTACGTTCACTAGATGAATTTTTTTCCTACCTTCTATTGGAGTGAGACCACTAGATTCCGTGTACGATGCGAGATCTGAGCGCTTTCGTTCTCCCTAGCATTTGCATTTGAAGTTCCGATACTGACCGACCTGGCCAATGCACCATTTTCTCTATACATGTGCGTTGAATACATTTCAAACCTTTTTAGCTGACTAGATTTATATATTTCCCACCTTCTGATCGAGTGAGACCGTTAGATTCCCTCTACTTTTTGAGAAACGAGCGTTTCCGTTCTCCCTGGCCCCACCTGCACTATGAGTGCGAAATGCCGGCCAGACTGGCCGATGCACCATTTTCTCTACACATGTGCGTTAGTTACCTTTCAAGCCCTTACGTTCACTAGATGAATATATTTCCTACTTTCTTTTTGAGTGAGACCACTTGATTCCGTGTACTATGCGAGATCTGAGCGCTTCCGTTCTCCCTGGCATTTGCATTTGATGTTCTGATACTGACCGACCTGGCCAATGCACCATTTTCTCTATACATGTGCGTTGAATACATTTCAAACCTTTTTAGCTAACTAGATTTATATATTTCCCACCTTCTGATCGAGTGAGACCGTTAGATTCCCTCTACTTTTTGAGAAACGAGCGTTTCCGTTCTCCCTGGCCCCACCTGCACTATGAGTGCGAAATGCCGGCCAGACTGGCCGATGCACCATTTTCTCTACACATGTGCGTTAGTTACCTTTCAAACCCTTACGTTCACTAGATGAATATAATTCCTACTTTCGTTTTGAGTGAGACCACTTGATTCCGTGTACTATGCGAGATCTGAGCGCTTCCGTTCTCCCTGGCATTTGCATTTTAAGTTCCGATACTGACCGACCTGGCCAATGCACCATTTTCTCTATACATATGCGCTGAATACATTTCAAACCTTTTTAGCTGACTAGATTTATATATTTCCCACCTTCTGATCGAGTGAGACCGTTAGATTCCCTCTACTTTTTGAGAAACGAGCGTTTCCGTTCTCCCTGGCCCCACCTGCACTATGAGTGCGAAATGCCGGCCAGACTGGCCGATGCACCAAGGGCATAGCGTGTGCAAAATAAAAAGAACAAGGGCCTAGCGTGTGCAAAATAAAAAGAACAAGGGCCTAGCGTGTGCAAAATTGCAAGAATAAGGGCCTACCGTGTGCAATATTGCAAGAACAAGGGCCTAGCGAGTGCAAAATAGCAATAGCAAGGGCCTAGCGTATGCAAAAAATCAAGAACAGGGGCCTAGCGTTCGCGAAATTGCAAGAACAAAGGCCTAGCGTGTGCAAAACGAAAAGAACAAGGGTCTAGCATGTGCAAAATTGCAAGAACAAGGGCCTAGCGTGTGCAAAATAAAAAGAACAAGGGCATAGCGTGTGCAAAATATCAAGAACAAGGGCCTAGCGTGTGCAAAATAAAAAGAACAAGGGCCTAGCGTGTGCAAAATAAAAAGAACAAGGGCCTAGCGTTTGCAAAATTGCAAGAACAAGGGCCTAGCATGTGCAAAATTGCAAGAACAAGGGCTTAGCGAGTGCAAAATAGCAAGCAAGGGCCTAGCGTGTGCAAAAAATTAAGAACAAGGGCCTAGCGTTCGCGAAATAGCAAGAACAAGGGCCTAGCGTGTGCAAAATAAAAAGAACAAGGGTCTAGCATGTGCAAAATTGCAAGAATAAGGGCCTAGCGTGTGCAAAATAAAAAGAACAAGGGCATAGCGTGTGCAAAATAGCAAGAACAAGGGCCTAGCGTGTGCAAAATAAAAAGAACAAGGGCCTAGCGTGTGCAAAATAGCAAGAACAAGGGCCTAGCGTGTGCAAAATTGCAAGAACAAGGGCCTAGCGTGTGCAGTGCAAGAACAAGGGCCTAGCGAGTGCAAAATAGCAAGAGCAAGGGCCTAGCGCGTGCAAACAATTAAGAACAAGGGCCTAGCGTTCGCGAAATAACAAGAACAAGGGCCAAGCGTGTGCAAAATAAAAAGAACAAGGGTCTAGCATGTGCAAAATTGCAAGAACAAGGGCCTAGCGTGTGCAAAATAAAAAGAACAAGGGCATAGCGTGTGCAAAATAGCAAGAACAAGGGCCTAGCATGTGCAAAATATAAGAACAAGGGCCTAGCGTGTGCAAAATAAAAAGAACAAGGGTCTGGTATGTGCAAAATTGCAAGAACAAGGGCCTAGCGTGTGCAAAATAAAAAGAACAAGGGCATAGCGTGTGCAAAATAGCAAGAACAAGGGCCTAGCGTGTGCAAAATAAAAAGAACAAGGGCCTAGCGTGTGCAAAATAGCAAGAACAAGGGCCTAGCGTGTGCAAAATTGTCGAGAGTAATAAGAATGGGTAAGTTGAGAGGTAGAAAGGTGGGGCCTAGGCTTAGTAGCCTAGGCCCGAGCTTTAGGTGTCGAGCGGTTTTGTGCCTAGGTAGGAGTTCGAGTGAGTTGAGAAAAAGTTGGGAGAATGTGTGTCTTCACTATAGCTTCGAAGTACATATAGCAAAGGAAACACATAAGGTGCACCACCAAACAAAGTTTAAATATCTACACTAACTACAGCTACAGGCAGTTACAAATATATATATTGTGACACTCCCCCATAACTGCCTGCAGCAGGAGTATGTGTAGAATACAACCTGCAGGTGTACACATGCAAAATAAATAGCAAGCAACAGCAGGTAATGCAGGCGGGCTGACACTAAGTGGTCACCCCCTCCATCTCCTCACCCTCCTCCTTCCCCTCCCCCACACTGCTGCAGGAGCAGCAGAGAAGGGGGGGAAGAGAGGAGAGGTGGAGGGACGGCTGCATGTTGCCTCACACCCGCCACCCCGTTACCACTCCCCCTGCTCCCCCACATCCTCACACCTTCTCCCCCCAGCGGCAGCTGCAGCGGTGGGACTGAAAGAAGGAGGAGGGGAAGGGAGAGAGGTGACGCCACACTCCAACACCCTCCACCCCCATACCCTCCTCCCCGCGGCTGCAGGGAGACAAAGGAGGAGGGGGGTGGGAAGGAAGAAAGCCGCAGAGCGGCGAAAAGGTGTCGGTGCAGTAGTGTCAGGGGCGGCTTCAGGGAGTGCAGGGGCGGAAAGGCCCGTCGCGGGCCAGTGCCACGGGGCGCACGACGGGTGGAATAGAAGGGCCCGATCGTGTGCCTCGGGGCGCACGACGAGCAGGGCACCATCGTGTGCCACGGGGCGCACGATGGGCAGACGAAGGGCACCGTCGCGTGCCACGGGGCGCGCGACGGGCAGGGAAGGAGTCACTCGCCCGTGGGCGGGACAATGTAAAAATAAAATCGTCACGCGACCGGAAAACCTTAGCAGCGGAAGTGTAAAGTGGGCCCACAGGCCAGGACGAACCTAGCTCTGATACCATGTCGAGAGTAATAAGAATGGGTAAGTTGAGAGGTAGAAAGGTGGGGCCTAGGCTTAGTAGCCTAGGCCCGAGCTTTAGGTGTCGAGCGGTTTTGTGCCTAGGTAGGAGTTCGAGTGAGTTGAGAAAAAGTTGGGAGAATGTGTATCTTCACTATAGTTTCGAAGTACATATAGCAAAGGAAACACATAAGGTGCACCACCAAACAAAGTTTAAATATCTACACTAACTACAGCTACAGGCAGTTACAAATATATATATTGTGACAAAAATAGCAAGAACAAGGGCCTAGCGTGTGCAGAATTGCAAGAACAAGGGCCTAGCGAGTGCAAAATAGCAAGAGCAAGGGCCTAGCGTGTGCAAAAAATCAAGAACAAGGGCCTAGCATTCGCGAAATAGCAAGAACAAGGGCCTAGCGTGTGCAAAATAAAAAGAACAAGGGTCTAGCATGTGCAAAATTGCAAGAACAAGGGCCTAGCGTGTGCAAAATAAAAAGAACAAGGGCATAGCGTGTGCAAAATAGCAAGAACAAGGGCCTAGCATGTGCAAAATATAAGAACAAGGGCCTAGCGTGTGCAAAATAAAAAGAACAAGGGCCTAGCGTGTGCAAAATTGCAAGAACAAGGGCCTAGCGAGTGCAAAATTGCAAGAACAAGGGCCTAGCGAGTGCAAAATAGCAAGAGCAAGAGCCTAGCGTGTGCAAAAAAAACAAGAACAAGGGCCTTGTGTTCGCGAAATAGCAAGAAAAAGGGCCTAGCGTGTGCAAAATAAAAAGAACAAGGGTCTAGCATGTGCAAGATTGCAAGAACAAGGGCCTAGCGTGTGCAAAATAAAAAGAACAAGGGCATAGCGTGTGCAAAATTGCAAGAACAAGGGCCTAGCGTGTGCAAAATAAAAAGAACAAGGGCCTAGCGTGTGCAAACTTGCAAGAACAAGGGCCTAGCGTGTGCACAATTGCAAGAACAAGGGCCAAGCGAGTGCAAAATAGCAAGAGCAAGGGCCTAGCGTGTGCAAAAAATCAAGAACAAGGGCCTAGCGTGTGCAAAATTGCAAGAACAAGGGCCTAGCGAGTGCAAAATAGCAAGAGCAAGGGCCTAGCGTGTGCAAAAAATCAAGAACAAGGGCCTAGCATTCGCGAAATAGCAAGAACAAGGGCCTAGCGTGTGCAAAATAAAAAGAACAAGGGCCTAGCATGTGCAAAATTGCAAGAACAAGGGCCTAGCATGTGCAAAATAAAAAGAACAAGGGCATAGCGTGTGCAAAATAAAAAGAACAAGGCCATAGCGTGTGCAAAATAAAAAGAACAAGGGCCTAGCGTGTGCAAAATATAAAGAACAAGGGCCTAGCGTGTGCAAAATTGCAAGAACAAGGGCCTAGCGTGTGCAAAATTGCAAGAACAAGGGCCTAGCGAGTGCAAAATAGCAAGAGCAAGGGCCTAGCGTGTGCAAAAAAACAAGAACAAGGGCCTAGCGTTCGCGAAGCTGCAAGAACAAGGGCCTAGCGTGTGCAAAATGAAAAGAACAAGGGTCTAGCATGTGCAAATTTGCAAGAACAAGGGCCTAGCGTGTGCAAAATAAAAAGAACAAGGGCATAGCGAGTGCAAAATAGCAAGAACAAGGGCCTAGCGTGTGCAAAATAAAAAGAACAAGGGCCTAGCGTGTGCAAAATAGCAAGAACAAGGGCCTAGCATGTGCAAAATTGCAAGAGCAAGGGCCTAGCGTGTGCAAAATTGCAAGAACAAGGGCCTAGCGAGTGCAAAATAGCAAGAGCAAGGGCCTAGCGTGTGCAAAATAAAAAGAACAAGGGCATAGCGTGTGCAAAATAGCAAGAACAAAGGCTTAGCGTGTGCAAAATAAAAAGTACGAGGGCCTAGCGTGTGCAAAATAAAAAGAACAAGGGCCTAGCGTATGCAAAATTGCAAGAACAAGGGCCTAACGTGTGCAAAGTTGCAAGAACAAGGGCCTAGCGAGTGCAAAATAGCAAGAGCAAGGGCCTAGCGTGTGCAAAAAATCAAGAACAAGGGCCTAGCGTTCGCGAAATAGCAAGAACAAGGGCCTAGTGTGTTCAAATTTAAAAGAACAAGGGCATAGCGTGTGCAAAGTAGCAAGAACAAGGGCCTAGCATGTGCAAAATAAAAAGAACAAGGGCCTAGCGTGTGCAAAATAAAAAGAACAAGGGCCCAGCGTGTGCAAAATTGCAAGAACAAGGGCCTAGCGTGTGCAAAGTTGCAAGAACAAGGGCCTAGCGTGTGCAAAAAATCAAGAACAAGGGCCTAGCGTTCGCGAAATAGCAAGAGCAAGGGCCTAGCGTGTGCAAAATAAAAAGAACAAGGGTCTAGCATGTGCAAAATAGCAAGAACAAGGGCCTAGCGTGTGCAAAATAAAAAGAACAAGGGCATAACGTGTGCAAAATAGCAAGAACAAGGGCCTAGCGTTCGCGAAATAGCAAGAACAAGGGCCTAGCATGTGCATAATAAAAATAACAAGGGTCTAGCATGTGCAAAATTGCAAGAACAAGGGCCTAGCGTGTTCAAAATAAAAAGAACAAGGGCATAGCATGTGCAAAATAGCAAGAACAAGGGCCTAGCGTGTGCAAAATAAAAAGAACAAGGGTCTAGCATATGCAAAATTGCAAGAACAAGGGCCTAGCGTGTACAAAATAAAAAGATCAAGGGCATAGCGTGTGCAAGATTGCAAGAACAAGGGCCTAGCTTGTGCAAAATAAAAAGAACACGGGCCTAGCGTGTGCAAAATAAAAAGAACAAGGGCCTAGCGTGTGCAAAATAAAAAGAACAAGGGCCTAGCGTGTGCAAAATAAAAAGAACAAGGGCCTAGCGTATGCAAAAAATCAAGAGCAAGGGCCTAGCGTGTGCAAAATTGCAAGAACAAGGGCCTAGCGTGTGCAAAATTGCAAGAACAAGGGCCTAGCGAGTGCAAAATAGCAAGAGCAAGGGCCTAGCATGTGCAAAAAATCAAGAACAAGGGCCTAGCATTCGCGAAATAGCAAGAACAAGGGCCTAGCGTGTGCAAAATAAAAAGGACAAGGGTCTAGCATGTGCAAAGTTGCAAGAACAAGGACCTAGCGTGTGCACAATAAAGAGAACAAGGGCATAGCGTGTGCAAAATAGCAAGAACAAGGGCCTAGCGTGTGCAAAATAAAAAGAACAAGGGCCTAGCGTGTGCAAAATAAAAAGAACAAGGGCCTAGCGTATGCAAAAAATCAAGAGCAAGGGCCTAGCGTGTTGCAATAATCAAGAACAAGGGCCTAGTGTTCGCAAAATAGCAAGAACAAGGGCCTAGCGTGTGCAAAATAAAAAGAACAAGGGTCTAGCATGTGCAAAATTGCAAGAACAAGGGCCTAGCGTGTGCAAAATAAAAAGAACAAGGGCATAGCGTTTGCAAAATAGCAAGAACTAGGGCCTAGCGTGTGCAAAAAAAAAAGAACAAGGGCCTAGCGTGTGCAAAATTGCAAGAACAAGGGCCTAACGTGTGCAAAATTGCAAGAACAAGGGCCTAGCGAGTGCAAAATAGCAAGAGCAAGGGCCTAGCGTATGCAAAAAATCAAGAACAGGGGCCTAGCGTTCGCGAAATTGCAAGAACAAGGGCCTAGCGTGTGCAAAATGAAAAGAACAAGGGTCTAGCATGTGCAAAATTGCAAGAACAAGGGCCTAGCGTGTGCAAAATAAAAAGAACAAGGGCATAGCGTGTGCAAAATAGCAAGAACAAGGGCCTAGCGTGTGCAAAATAAAAAGAACAAGGGCCTAGCGTGTGCAAAATAGCAAGAACAAGGGCCTAGCGTGTGCAAAATAGCAAGAACAAGGGCCTAGCGTGTGCAGAATTGCAAGAACAAGGGCCTAGTGAGTGCAAAATAGCAAGAGCAAGGGCCTAGCGTGTGCAAAAAATCAAGAACAAGGGCCTAGCGTTCGCGAAATAGCAATAACAAGGGCCTAGCGTGTGCAAAATAAAAAGAACAAGGGTCTAGCATGTGCAAAATTGCAAGAACAAGGGCCTAGCGTGTGCAAATTAAAATGAACAAGGGCATAGCGTGTGCAAAATTGCAAGAACAAGGGCCTAGCGTGTGCAAAATTGCAAGAACAAGGGCCTAGCGAGTGCAAAATAAAAAGAACAAGGGCCTAGCGTGTGCAAAATAAAAAGAACAAGGGCCCAGCGTGTGCAAAATTGCAAGAACAAGGGCCTAGCGTGTGCAAAGTTGCAAGAACAAGGGCCTAGCGTGTGCAAAAAATCAAGAACAAAGGCCTAGCGTTCGCGAAATAGCAAGAGCAAGGGCCTAGCGTGTGCAAAATAAAAAGAACAAGGGTCTAGCATGTGCAAAATAGCAAGAACAAGGGCCTAGCGTGTGCAAAATAAAAAGAACAAGGGCATAACGTGTGCAAAATAGCAAGAACAAGGGCATAGCGTTCGCGAAATAGCAAGAACAAGGGCCTAGCATGTGCA